CGATCATCAAACATTTTTCGTATAGAATTTTCTAAATGTATACGTAGATAGTTCGAATCTTTATTATTTTTTCGGTTCGATTCGGTTCGGTTCCAAAAAAACACGAACCGATCCCATCACTGTAACCCATATCACAAAGAAAAAAAAAGCAAAAAAACTTTGCTAATATTTGGATTTTTCCTTTCTCGTTTATTTTCATCAATGGCAAATTTACAAAATTTAGTCTGTCACTCTGTCATCTTTTTTCTTCATTCGAAAACTTTATCGTATAATCGCAGGGGCAATCAAAATGTTAATTTTAAACAGATAGAAATGAATGAATATAAAATTCTACACAATTTTTTTTGTTCTTCTATTTTTATCACTGTATAAAGAGCTGACGGAATCAGATGAATCACATACATGAAGTATTTTCATTCGGTTAGGATTATCTTTCAATATACATCATTTCTTATTTACTTTAGATTTTCTTGAATCTAATTGGATAATTTTCACATTCGCAACATATTTTACTATCTTTACGGTTTCACACTATTCCTGAATAAATACGATTCCACTGTGTAGCTAACACTGTATCTGTATGACCACATTGTCCCTCTCTTTTGTTAAGTTATATAATCGAATATGATTGCATATAGTCATGCTTCGGTCGGTATTCTTCTATAAGATCTTTCTATTTGAAATCCATTTGTGATTTCTATATGTATCTCCATGAATTCAAGATTGCTGCATGTCAATCAGTCAAAAACAGAAGAAGAAAAAAAGATTTTTAAGAAGTTCTACTAGATTTATAGTTGAAAATGCAAAAAAAATTTATATAACGAACAGGACACTATCAATTGATTCGAATATGTTGCTGCTGTTTTTTTCTTTATAATGCACAAGATGACTGAATATAATCATAGAAGACGTTTCATTTTATTGAAATAACAGAAAAAACTAAAATCTAGACTAAATATGTAAATAAATGTAGTCCAACAAATCGACTTTTTTTTGTCTTCTACAAATCGTCCCATGTTAATGCACATTGAGATTCAATCGCTGCAATTGCAGCAGAAACATCACTTTTAGCAATTAATTCACTTAACTTGATTGCTTTGTCCGAATCAACTGATATTCCATTCAATTCAATTGTTAAATCGTAACCAAATTTATATTGATTCGTTGCAAGCCAATTGTCTTCACACTCTTCAACTATATGTATATAAACATATGCATTAACCCTTGTCCAATATGGTACACCTTTTTTGTCATATTCTGCATTAAATCGAATAATTGTTGTTAATTTTTCGCCTGGCTTAGCCCGTTTTGTTGCTTGTCTACGAAATTCTTTGGTAATATCATCACTAAGATTTTCTGGTTGTACTTCAGTTACATTTGACACTGTAAAACCTTCTTTAATTGAATCTCGTAAACATTTAGTAAATTCATTAAAGTCGATATTTTTTTCAGTTCCCATAGATTTTTGATTGGCAGCAAAATCCCGACGAAAATTAACTTTTTTTATTATTTCTTTTTTTTCTAAAAATTTAATTAACGTACCAGGAATACGTGTGTAAATTTCCGTTGCCTTAGCTTGAGCATTGCCATCAAATAAAGATATAAGTTGCGTACCAGTATTTGCAACTAAAGCCATTTTAATAGATAATATATATTTGTCTTAGTGTAGGTTTATGAACGTATGACTACGATCAAAATAATTTTAGTTTGATTCGAGGATGACTTCGTGTAGCACGTAGTATTTAAATGAAAGGATAAAATTTGTGATAGGAGAAGGTCATAAAAAGGTGTAGATGATACTAATATTTAGATTTTTCCCTTTCTCTTCGACATGCCTGATCCATACGAAAAAAAGAAAATATTAAAGAGAAACAACAAAACTAATGTTGGAATTTTCTCACGTCCTCTTGTCTCGACACAAGAATTAATCTTTCGTACACAAAAAAATAAGAATAAACTTAATATTTTTGAAATGCTTTCTTTCTTCTATATCATCTATTTATGATCACGTAGAAAGATAAAAGAAATATGCCAGTATTGTTTTCTTTTTCTTCTTTCTTGCTTCTATGTATGAGATGAATCTTCATATCAAATAAAGAAAGAAAATATGAAAGTATTGCTGGCATATTTCTTTTATCTTTATGCATGCACATAAATAGATGATATAGAAGAAAGAAAGCATTTGAAAAATAGCAAGTTTATTCTTATTTTTTTTTGTACGAAAGATTGATTCTTGTATCGAGGCAAAAGGACGTGAGAAAATTCCAACATTTGTCTTGCTGGTTCTCTTCAATATTTTATTTTTTTTCGTATGGATTATGCATGTCGAAGAAAAAGGAAAAATCCAAATATTAGTATCATCTATACCTTTTTACGACCCCTTCTCCTATCATTAGTTTTATCCTTTCATTTAAATACTAAACAGTACACAAATTGATCCTCTAGTAGAAACAAAAAAAAGGTTTGATTGTAGTCGTAAATTTATTTTCAAATACTATATTAACTATCAAAGAACACAAACATCTTAATTTTCACGATTATAATTACAATAAGAAGTATATATATTATCAATTAATATGGCTTTAACTTCATGTAAACTCGACGAACTATTATGTTTATTACCTCGTGAAGTTCACGAAAAAACTGTAGAAATTTATAATACTATTCCCGGTTCATTACTTAAATTTATTGGTCCAAAACCAATTACGAAAAAAGCAGAACGCAGTGAACATCAGTTGATGACAGAAAAATCAATGGAAACTGATGATAATGAATATCAGAATAATCCAATTCAAGATTCAAGTTATTCGAATCATCGAAACATTTATCATCACGAAAATGATGAAGCTAATCGGACATATCTTACTGAACCAATGCATGAAACAAAACAAGATTATATGGGACATAAAACTGGAATAAAAAATAATAAAGATTCGAACTATCTACGTATACATTTAGAAAATTCTATACGAAAAATGTTTGATGATCGACTAATAACTGAAATCGATCCAAATACTTTAGCTTATGAAATATCGACAAAATGTCTTGAACAATGTCCAGAATGGGGTAAACAATGTAAGAATTCATCAACAATCATTCAGTTTAATAAGATATTTATATCAGAGAATGATTCAACAAAAATGAATATTCTTGTTTACGTTTATGCTCATTTGAAATGTGAATTTGATACATTAGTTTTTGGATTGAGAAATAGAAATCAATATAAAACTAGTTACGATTTAGCAATTGAATTAAATGGAATATCAATAAATTTAATGAAATTAATTGAATTCTGTCAACTTGTTAAGGAAAATAGTGTTCATGATGCAATTGAAAAAATTGAAGCAAAAACTCAATTAACATGGAACGATTTATAGAAAGAAAATCGTTCATAATCGTAGAACTATATTCTTTCTAAACAAGATGATACACTCGTTTTTTTTGTATTTGAACAGCTTTTTTGAAATAAATAAAAAAAAGACCCTTAATGAATATATAGATATTCTAAAAACAATAATCAATCACTTTTAGATAATGTTTGATTATAGCTAGTTTTCATGGATGACTAATTGTCAAAAGGAAATTTAGATCTTATTTTACTTTTTATGTCTATTGCTTGTAATATACAAGTTTTTCAACTTTTATCTTAAATTTTGAAAAAAAATGTTATTTATTTTTTTCCAAAAGATACAACAAATATTCGCACATCTTTGATGCCCTTTTATGTATTCATTTTGAACATGGATAATTTTGCGACTGAGAAGAAATTATGTCACACAATAAACTATATTGTAATTTCAAAGTGTTCATAATGACGTTTATAAACGTAGAAGTTGTCGAATATATTGTTTCTGTACCGTAGATATCATTTTACAGAATGAAAATAAAATGAAAGTGATAGGTTTCAATGAGTCCTCCCCACTTAGTCGTGCACGATTACGACATGCCATTTTTCGATGGTTTTCGTACGTTCAGAATCTCTTAGAAAAACTTTTTTCACACGCTCCTATGTTCATATACTCTAGAGACAGTTGTTTCCAATAAATACGAATATTCTATTTAAGATTGAGAAAACATCTAAGGCTTGTCGATGAAAAGTACCTATGATTAATGTTCGGAATTCAGGGTGCTTCTTTCAGGATACTAGGATGTGGGTTGATACACCAATGATTTTGGCATGGACCGTTAGATTAGTCACATGCTATAAGAACGGAACAGACTGGGCTAAAATTTTAGTTTTCTAGATCTTATTCTATCAGCCTGGGGATTTTTATAACGTATATTCCTATTTTATTTACATTTTTGCCAATTATTATATAAATTACATTAAGATTAACACCAATGATATTATAATGGAAATTCTTTTCATTCATTTTTTTTCTTCTTAATTCAAGTTCATTCAAAACATGAATTGTGGATGGGTGTGAGTAATGTGAATCTAGATTAATTAATTACTCGCATCCACACCACACACCCTTAACTTTACCTTTCTTTCCTTTATTTAGTTATTCCGATAATTGTTCGTCACCTTATGAGAGAAATAGAGAAAGTTAGTTTGATTTAAGTTTTCGATTTTCTCCTTGAAGGTATCCATAGTAAGTTGGGTAAATATTTTATTAATTGACTTAGCTCAATGAATATAATAATTCAATCATTTAGAATCGTTTTGTCAAAAGAACAGTAGCAAATACGAATCCACAAAACGTTCGCAAAGTTCTGTAGTAATTTCATGCAAATATTGCTGTTGATATTGAACCAAAGCCCAATACCACCATCGAATGGGTGTCATAATTATGTGCATGACAGAATGACTATGAGTAGCGTAACATGATGCAATCAAATTGTTAACTACAATCGTTCCTTCTAGTGTGAGAGGAGCATAGGCATACTCGTCCACATGGAAAACGTGACGAACATTGGTAACTTTAATTGGTTGATGCTCTGTCATGGAAAAAACGAAATCTCCTACAGATATGTCTCGAGCAAATCTGTATTGTTCGATTCTATCATTAGGCTTGCGAGTTAGTATGGAGTGAGATGATGTAAGACGAAGTGGTTTGCTTAGATTGCTAGTCGTTTGTAATTCAATGAACGCAAGATAAGATCGTTGATGACGAAAAATAGCCAGGACCGGACTTATCTCACTAGAGCTAACATGTATCCGATCTCCTACACGAAGATCACGCATCATAACATGAGCGCCACTTTTTAGTGACACCATCGTACTTTCAGCGAAGCATGGTGCAACAGATGTTGAGAAATACGATCTAAATCGATCCCATGTCGTCGCAATTTTTCCTATCAAAGCCTTTATCCATTCGATTACAGATTTAATCCATGATATTATGGCGATCTCGGATGAGTTCGTCGTGGTGATTGTCTCTGACGTTGTTGTCGTTATTGTTGTTGTCGTAGTTGCTATCGTCGTGGTTTCAATAGTTGCTGTTGAGGAAAACTTATTTCCAGAACTATTTTTCAAATGTATGATCATTATTATGAATATTAAAATGCTAATAGAAAGAATGCAAATTGTCCAACGCTTTCTTTTGTTTAACTGCTTTTTCCAATCTATATGCAGCCGATTTCTGAAATTATAGGTATGAAAATAGGGATTGTAACAACGACAAGAGTAACCGTTGAAAAATTTCTAAAAGATGCACTCTTACCTATGCTGAACAGCGAAGGATTCTGAACTCGGATCACTAATTACTGAATGTAAACGTTGGCATTCTGAAGCATGGTGTTGGAAACAAATGTGTATAGATTGACATTGTCTACAGGTCTGAGAATGACTTCGCAGTCCAGAGCTTGGATGTTGTTGACAATTTCCAATCTTTTCGTCAATATTAGAAAACCTTGTTTGTTGCCGTCGATCCTATAAAAAAGAAGTAACATGAAATGCACCAAGTATGATATGCAATGCTTAGTTTCAAATACAATCGAATAGTACATTTGAACTGTTGCAATTGTATAGAAAACTGAGCCAAGTAGAAAAATTATTTGCACTAGTTTCAAACTGATATGAGAGTGTTAAACTTAATAGAAATTATTTCGTGATTTATCGTTGAGACTATCCTGATAATATTCGCATTTAATCTGTTATTGTGTACTTTCTAAATATCTCTAGTCAAATTAAACGTCTAATGTTATTTTCTAACCGCAATCCATTGATGATTAAGCGGAATGATCGTAAATAGTTTCGGTCTTATGCTCGGATAAAATATTCATTCAATAAGTCTTCATGACAATGAATCACTCGACAGCAACTTATGAATCGTCTAAAGTCAATTCATGGAAATAAAATTTTCAGTACCCAAACTCGATTACATCGACATTTGAAAAATCGTCCTATCCATATGTGTCATGGGGAAATTCAAAATTTCATTTCTTTCTGACGAAAACTTGCTATTTCTTTCATCTTTCCTAGATATTTGAAGGTGCCATTTTGGGTGGATGAGTGCGTACGGCTAGGCTGTTCTTTTCCCATGTCTCTGTTACGTTAAATATTATTATAAAAGCGTACGTAATCCTACAGCAAAGGCAATATATAACAATAGTCCCCAGAATTTCTTCCACTACACTTATACGCCCCTTGATCGTTATAAATCGTACCGTTTCGAGTCAAATCTGGAATAGCAGAGAATGAATGTACGGCTCTCATTCTTCTCTTCGCTCTTATTCACTCACACCGACACCCACACCCAGCATGTTCAATGCAATCAAAATCTTTTCCAATCAATAAGTGCATATGTAAATAATAATATTTAGGGTGGTGGAATATGCCAATTATTATTAAAACGTAGTTCTGTGTTCGATATATATTTTTAACATGTGAGAAGAAATTCATTGTTAGTTGACGAGTCCAACTAGGATGTTCTATTCGTTGTTACGACAAATCACTAGCAGAGAGTACTCGGATTTTCATGCTTCTATACTGTATATGAGAAAATCGGTAGAGTACTTTTATTTAAATGTTGCATGTAGAGTGTCAAACATTTTTCAAATTACTCAACATAAGTAATTCCTAAATATGCAACCATCCTACTGAGAAAAAAAACTTTTTTAATTATTTGAACGAATTATTTCTTTTCTGCATTTAGAAAATATTTTATGAATGATTTGAAAACATTTTTTCCAAAGTATTCTTATTATTGCTTTTGATTTGGAGTCTCGTAAAAGTGTGAAAATAGAAAAGAACCATATGCTTTACAAACCGGTTCATTATCAACACCATCATATTTGAATACTGTATTGGAGTCAGGATTTATAGATGTTTTCAATATGTTGGTATGTTTTGATATACGAGCGGTTGATTGTAACACGTTTTCAATATCAACGGCTTCGCGACAAGGTCGTCCTGTTACTTGACATTTCTCGCACAAGTCTTCGGCATGCTCACCGTTCGGGTTACTAAAAATCAATCCATTTCTATGATCGGCCTTGTGTGCATTGATAACATTTTGATCTTCTAAATCATCACGATCCAGAGCAGCTGTGATGTTATACGATTGACAACTTTGACATTTGTTCCACCTAGTTGAATAGCATGAATACCAGAACGCATTACAGTCATGGCAAATATAAACGAAATTTTTCGAAAGGTTCATTGGATAAACAAGAGTTTTACATTGTTTACAGTATTGACCAAAGCCAGCCCAAACCTTAGTACTTTTCCAGAATCTTTTGCACTTAGAGCACTGAAACTCTCCATAACATGGACGATTTTGATCAGGATTTTCATTATGAACCATGGCGCCTCTTTGCGGGTATTGCCAGTTTCATCAAAAATGAATTTGATTATGAAGTTCAAATGTTTTATCTAAAACTGACAGCAGGCAATTCTATATAGAAAACATTTCGAGATTATAAAAATAGCAAGTTTTCTTATTCGAAAGCCTTCTGTGTATAGGAATAGAAAAGAATCCATCAGATAATTTACTTGATTACATTAAATTTGTGTTTCTCACTATCTTTCTGATGGTTGTCAAAGAAAAAACAATAGTTAGAATGACTGATAAAAAGTCGACTATCAACATACTGAAACAGAAATTATGAATAGGTACCCTGTCCAAATTGGATTCAGTATTTCGTACTTCAAAAGTCTGTATTGACATTTTCGGACTCGTTGAACTTTCAAAGTTCAAAGTTCGTAAATGGTTTTTAAAAATCGTCGTGTTGCTGGCATGTGCACTATAAATTCCTTGTATTTTGTCTTATTCTGTGTTACTAAAATATTCTTATTGTCGACATACTAGGTAGAATGCACGCTATCTACAGCATAATAAATGCATTCTATTTAGCAACTAATTGTATAAATATCGAGTTATTAATCGATATTTATGTACCCTAGTTCGTTATTTATCAAGAATCTACATACGATTAAACGAAATATGAATATATAGCATAGAAGAATAAAAATCTTCGATAAATGAGATCTATAATCGGTCGTCTCTTTGCTCGATGGAAATTAACACTTGAGTGATCCTTCAACTTCGATAACTGAAAGGGAACATGTAAATGGTTATGAGTGGTTTTTGAGTATGACTTTAAAAAATAAAGAAATAAAGAATTATTTTACGAGAAATAATGTCGTGAAGGGAGCTCCAAGGCCACAGAATTTGTAAACAGAGAGATTTTTATCATTTCAAAAAATATATTTAGATTGGAAACACGTTAAGTAAGACAGTATTTCAAAAAAATAGAAAAAGAAAATGAAGACTTACTTCTCGATATCTTATTTTCACAACAACACATTCTTTTCTTTCCTTATTAGTTGACTAAAAAAAGACTTAATGATGCAAACACAGAAAAAAGAAAGAAACGCTCGCAAAAAGTATGAAACAAACGCAGGAAAAAATAAAGGAACGCACACTAAAAAGGAAAGCATCTAGAAAAAAGAGAAGAACACACAGTTTTTACTAATACTACAGTCATTTTCTATAGTTTATTCAACAAAAAATTCAACCCAGAAACCTTGACTCGTACATGAATTATATTAATTTTTTTAGGTCGAGCTTTCAAGAGAATCAAAGCTCGCCTTCGGCAACAAAAAAATCAGAACCAATAGCAAATATATGTGAGACTCCAGTAAACTCATGGCTACTTCTCATTTGTCGTCTGACGAACAAATATTTCATTGATTCTAATTTTTTCTTTCGTTACAAATAGACTTGCGACAGTTCTCAATCAAAGAACTGAACAGATATCGAACACGCAGTTCTTATTAAAAGAAATGGAACCGAGGATCAATTCTTTTTAAAAGATATGATCACTAGACCCAATTTTCAAACGAAGTTCTCCAACAAGAATCGGTTCATACAACTGTGAAGATGTAAATGGGTGTGTGTGATTGTTAGTACCTGTTTATGGATACATACCATAAACTCTCACTTCTAAAAGTATCTCAGGTCGAACAAACATGCCCGTTAACGGTGTGAGTGGACCTGCGTCTTCTTCTCCTCAACGATACATCCACACCTTCTATAGTTCTTAAGACTTCAAATGTTAAATCAGGCACGAATAATTTCGCATTTCAAATTCCAGCTGGATAGGATTATGAAAGATGGAAGATTCAAGAGTCAAGTTCTTGCTTTGGAATATTTTCTTTTATCTGTATTAAAACAAAACAAGCCTGATAAAAAACTCATTTTTCGACAAAAGTCGGCTCATACCTCGAAAACGAAAAGTCATAGACATAAACACTTCTCGGATTCTCTTGATTTCACTGAAATCTTCTTTTTAACAAAGCGATTATAACGTATTCAATAAAGCTGTGCTGCCATATTTTGTGCAAAAAAGAATCCATATCCTTCTTGAATACGAAGTAAATTTTTTTGCTTTATCTCTTTTTGATATAAAAAAAAATGTTCTTTGTAAGTAAAGATCAGCAAAAGAATAATTTATTTATTTATTTCAATATGATAATAAACTCTTAATTTAAGATGAATCATTGGTCAAATTTAGCAAAGCAATAGGATCAATATCTACATTGCCACGCCAATGAAGAAGTAAAGCACGTTCCTCATCAGCCATAGTTTGAAGAATGACTGTCATACGACGATAAACAGATGGTTGTACAAATGCTCGAAGTTTTTCTAATAAATTAAATTTTTTCTTTGTTACTTCTTCCGATTGCTTGATGTTATCATATCTTCAATAAAAAAGAAGAAAACAAGTTAAATCAAGCAAAAATAGATCATTTTTTTATTTTACCTTCGAATTATTCGATAACCTTGTCGAGTAAGTCTCTCAGCAATTAGATTTTCTTGTTGCATCCATGGAAACTCCTTACTCTTTGATAATGTATATTGATTAAGAAAAGAATCAATAACAAATGCAGTAAAGATACTAAAATAAAACATAATTTATAATGAAGAGAAAAAAAATGAACATTACTTGAGGACCACAATAACAGCACATAGATGAAAGGCAAGAAAAAAAAGACGTGCCACTTTACTGGTTACAATAACAAAGCCAGAAGCCAATACTTAAAATTGAGAGAAAAACAAAATCTATGAACAGTAAATTCAAGTATAAATCCTTAATGAACATTTTATTAGCATTGTTCAACACGTTGCCAATATTTCCAAGAATCTCAAAATTACATCTATTAATTAATTAAATCCTATCTTTTATGAGAGTATACAATACAAGAAAAATAAGTCGGAAAATTTATAAAACTTAAAAAATTTATTGTTTCTCTTACCATGCCATTGATTAACTACAGTTAATTCGAAAAGAAGAATCAACGATGACAAATAATCATTAAAATTATTTCGACAATATTGACCTCTAAACGTATACAAAAGATATAAAATACTTTTTATCAATAAAATCTTCTCGATATACTTTGAAAAGTCTGAACCATTAAGTCGAGTATCATTACAAAATTCAGCAAATGTAGAATTCGAATCCAAATGCACTATTCTATTTTGAAATATTTCCATTCCTTGACAAAAAACAAGACAAATATTTATTGATTTTTTTTCTATTTAAAATTTTTCATATTATTTACCAATCATTGCAAATACATAATAAGTCATCTATATAGAATAAGCTTTTCAATGTAATCTAAAAAAAATTCATTTTTTTTACTTACAAACATCACTCGAAGATAAGTTATTAATGTTGGGATAACTTTTGAAAATGTTCCAAAAATAACCTTAAATCTAATAAAATATTTCTACACATCAAATCAACAAATACTGTTCAAA